CACTTCCGGCCACGGTTTAGCCGAAAATCTCTCCGAGATCCCCGTATCCATCAGTTTTACCCCTCTCTCTCTTGGATGCAGCATAGACAAAAAAAACTCTTGCCTGAAAGAGAGTAGCTAAAACTACACAACCTTCTCCATCTCCAGAGGAGGAATCTTCTTCATTCAAGGCTAAGGTTACTGCATCTGCATCCGCATCTTCTTCAGGGCCATCTTTTATGGATGTGCAGGGCCCCATTTGATAAGTGTCAAATATTACATATTTAAGTGCCCTTAATTGCATTAATTAAGTCCATATTTTGATCTATGTATATAGATTAACTACATTTTTATGTTTTTATGTTTTTGCAGGTCTTATTACTAAAAAGGAATAAGAATAAGGTTTTAAGGGTTTTTGGAGCACAAGTCATATCGGGCCTACATATCAAGTGGTTTTCAAGGAGAAATGGCCTGGATAGGCAATGGATGCAATCAAAGCTAAAGAAAAAAGAAGAAGCCAAAGAAGCATGCCTCGCGTTCGGACGCAAGAACTGGCATCCGGATGCCACCTTTCAGCACCTCACGTCTGGACGCAAGATTTGGCGTCCGGACGCCAAACCATCAGGACCTCACGTCTGGACCCCATTCTTCACGTCCAGACACAAGGCTACAGGCCCCTATTTTAATTAAGTTCGATTTTATTCTATCTTGAGCAAAAATTCAAATTTTGAACGAATTATTTTATTTGGAAACTCATGTAAGGATAAAGGAGGGGCAAAGGCTTATATCAAACAGTTAGTTTTGGTTTTTGAAAAGATATTGTGAGAGAGAAGATTTTCTTAGGTTTCTTGGCTGAGTTTTGCAATAATGGGGAGATGAGGGAATTTCTTCTCTTCTTCAATCCTAGAGGTTGTTGCCATATCCATGAGAGGCTAACTTCCTTTCTAGGGAGTTGATGAAACCTAGACCAAGTAAACATGTATTAATTTGTGTTTCAATTTGGGAATTTTTATTGTATATATTTATTTTCATAAATTAGAAGTATTTACATTAAATTGATGTATGTGATTATCAATTGAATATATATTTGTGTTGATTTATTATCTTGTCTTATAAACCACATTGACACAATTATACACTTGATTTCCTATAGTGATAATGGGAAATAATTTATGGAATGGTTATATTGACATGCAATTGAGTATTTATATAGGTTATGCTTAAGGAAGATGGACCATGCTACACCTTTAGATTAATGTAGTTAGGTAGATGGTCCATACCAATTGAAGATAATCTATGATATTTAATTGATTTCATGTGCTGCAACATACCATTGAATAACCTTGATAGGCCATGCCTAGGGAAGATGGTTCATACCACAACCTAGCTTAGGTGGATGAGCCATGCTAACCAAAGATGGGTTATGCTTAGTCCTGAAATGTATGATCTTCTTGATGATGTTGTGGTAGTTTTATACTTTTACACATCATTTTATATATATAATTGTCTATCCCCAAGTTAAGTGGAATTTAACATGTTTATGAGCTTGAGGTGAAGTCAATTCCCTAGCCTTCTCTTTATAAGTTCAATCCATTCTAATCACATTATTTACTAGTTTATGAAATTTAAATTCGTAGGTTAAGTGACAAACCAATCAAATTATCATCCCTATTATCAAATTAGGAAGTAATTTTACAATTCTGTTTGCCATAAACTAGTTATCCTTGTGGTTCGACAACCCCTTACTATAGCATTAATCTGCAATGATGAATGTGCAATTGTTAGAAGTGGTATTTTTAAGTGGTACGCATTTGTGCGCCTCAACTTTTTGGCGCCATTGCCAGGGATTGCATACGGTTTTGTAATCAGAATTTAAAAATTGCTTCATTATTTGATTGTATATATATTTTCATGTTTTTGATGTTTTTGTGTTGCTTGGGACTATAGACTTTCCAGGAGATTTAATTGCAAAATTTGAAGTCTTAAGGACTTTGGATAAGTTTTTGAAGTTCCTAGTTTATTCTTTGTTTGGCCCTTATCAAGGCTATTGCAGATTCTTATTTTATTCAGAGCATAGGTCTTTGTCGTGGCCAATTTAATCTGTTTTCATTATTGTTGAATTGAGGGAAAGGGATCAATGTATGTGGATGTATTGGTGATGGGTTATTGTAATTGTTGTGTTTGATAGTTGATGGTAGGTCGTAGATTATCGTCTTTACCACATCTTGAGGAACCAATTGATATTGTTTTACTTGAAAGAACTCTTAGACAACAAAGAAGGAACCTTAGGGATCCCAAAATTTTAGGAGAACTTGAAATTGAAATAGATAAAATGGCTAATGAACAAGATAATCTCGAAATTCCTAGAGCTGAAAATCAAAATTTAGCCCCAGTGACTCTTAGGGACCACTTTGTACCCTCTACATATATATCTCCATCATGCATTATCATGCCCAATGTTGAGGCTCATCATTATGAGATCAAATCTATCACAATTTAAATGCTTCCGACATATCATGGGTTTGATGATGAGGATCCTTATAAACATCTTGATGAGTTTCTGGAAATCTGCTCCACCATCAAGATGAGGGACTTCCCCCAAGATGCACTTCATATGCTTCTCTTCCTATTCTCTTTGAAAGATAGAGCAAAATATTGGTTGAACTTTCTTGTTGCAAATTCCATCACTTCATGGGTACAATTGCAACAAAAATTTCTTAAAAAGTACTATATTGTGAGTAAGACCAATCAAATGCGTCGTTCCGTTCTTATTTTTTCCCAAATTGATAGGGGAAATATTCTATGAGACGTGGGAGAGACTTCAATATTTTCTGAGGAAGTGTCCGCACCACCAAATTCCAAAGTGGCAATTGGTGCAAGCTTTCTATGATGGTTTGACAGAACCATATAGACAATTAATCGATTCTTCATGTGGGGGCATGTTTATGTCCAAAAATCCAGATGATACATGGACTCTACTTGAGAACATAAGTGAAAATTCTATGCAACATAGTTCTTATAGAGCTTCTACATCTAATGTGGTTAAACCCTCAAATCCGTGTCAACCACGGTCTCTTAGGGAAGAATCTTCCTAGGTGGATGCCATAGCCCACAAAGTTTTTCAGCTTGTGGCACCACACCTCTCATCTTCTTAGAATTCTTCATCTAATGCTATATATGCACATTGCACAAGCACTTTTATGCCAGAACAAGTTAATACCATGTTCTCTCGCCCTGAAAATAATCCTTACTCCAATACATACAATTTGGGTTAGAGATATCATCCAAATTTTTCACGGAGGCAACAAGCCCCACAAAATTCATTATGTCAAGGTCATGGGTAATCGACTCAATCTAATTCTCAATCCATGAACCAGCCATTTCAAGCTTTTTCAAGTTATCGTCCTCCTTCCTATAATGCAAATTTTTCTAATCAGAATCATGTTCCTTCACAACAGTCCCAATTGGATGAGCTAGTAAATTCCAACAAGCAGATAATGGCTGCCATTAGTGGTATGCAATCAATTGTGCAATTGGTTAGTACTCATTCTCATTCAATAGTTAATATTGAAACTCAACTGGGACAATTACCTAATTCAATAAATCAGCTTCACAAGAAAGACACAGGAAAACTTCCAGCTCAACTTGTGGTGAACCTGAAAGGGCAATATATGATTGATGAAATCACTCCTCCGAGTGGATCCAGGGGTGGCAATATTTGACACGACACGCTAACACGACACGAGATAAGCGGGTTAGGGTTTTGGCTAATCGTGTTCATGTCATAATCGTGTTGACACGGATTAACCTGTTAACCAAATGTGTCGTGTTCGTGTTTGACCCTGTAAACACGATTATGACATGATTAACCCGATTAACTAAATGTGTCAGATAAACGTGTCGTGTTTGTGTCAAAAATGACATATTTAGCAAAATATGTTGTATTCGTGTCAAAAATGACTTAAATATGTCTTTTCGTGTCGTGTTAAGTCTTGACCCATTTATTAAATAGGTTATGCATGTCGTGTCATGTTACACGTATAATAATCGTGTCGTGTTCGTGTCAAAGGTCTTAGACACGATTAATAATCGTGTCGTGTTCGTGTCAACTCTAATCGTGTCTGTGTCGTAATCATGTCGACACCAACACGACACGCCAACACGAATTGCCACCCCTAAGTGGATCAAATCTTGAGTAAGTTCAAGCCATCACCACACTTCAGAGTGGAAGAATTGTGGACAATAAGGTTGATGAAAGAGTCCAAACTCTTACTCTCAAAGATTCAACTTCTTCATTCAAAAATCTAAAAGATAGTCCAGAAATTCCAAATCCGCCAATCCAAAATGTTGAGACATCTTATGAGCCTAAGGCTCTTTTTCCTCAACGCCTCATAGAGTCCACACATTTTGGGAAAAAGGGTGATAAAATTCAGGAAATGTTTGAAATCTTTAAGCAAGTAAAGATCAACATTCCTCTCCTCACTACAAGAAATTAGGTTTTTAGTGACAGCCAAATCTGTCCCTAAAAACCCTAAGACTATCCCTAATAATCAAATCTGACCGTCCCTAATAGTTGTGTCACAAATGATTTTTAGGGACTGTAAAAATTTTCCGTCCCTAATAAAATCAACCTTTAGGGACGGACTTACTGTCCCAAAAAGGCCCGTCCCACTTTCATTTATTAGGGACGGACTTACTGTCCCTAATAAGACCATCCCCCTTTGATTTATTAGGGACGGTATTTACTATCCCTAATAGTTGATATATTAGGGACGGTTTTTTTGTCCGTCCCTAATACATACTTATTAGGCACAATTTGTACCGTCCCTAATAATTTTTTTTTATTATTATTAAATTAAATTTGTGACAGTAATAAACTGTCCCTAATACTTCATTATTATTTTTATTATTATTTTTTCTATTTTGCTCTACCGGATTTGTTTTCTAAAAATACTATTAAACCACATCCACCTTATATATCAAAACAAGGAAACTAAAAAGTATATTCGTCCCCAATATCATTTTAGAAAGAAATAAATAAATTACCACCATAATACGGTGCCAACAAACAAGCTCTTAGTCTCATGATGAAACTACAAATTCTCCAGTTTTGTAAAGAAGAGCTAAAAGTATCTACTAGCTGCTTTAACATCAAATGGTTCCAAACATCCTTAAAAATTAAAACATCATTTTAAACTGAATGCAATCATGAAAATGCAGGGAAAAAAATACACTACCAAAATAGTTAGAAATCAGCTAGCTAGCCATCAAAAAGCTCCAAAATATATCTACCAAAATAATTATCTTTATAGTTCATTCAGGTGACTGTTGTGGTGGTGATGAAATTGCCACCATGTTGGCGGCTGCTGATACTAGCTTGGTGGGGCTTGCTGCTGTTGGTGGAATCGTGGTGGCGGTTGTTAGTTCTGTTGTTGCTGCTCAAGGAGTTGTTGGAGTTGTTGTTGCTGCTGCTGAAGGATTTGCTATTGCTGCTCAAGGAGGTGCTGAAATGTATCCAACTTCTCCTCCAAATTTGTAACTTTCTCCCTAAGTTGTGCATTATCTTCTTCAACATTTTTTACCCTTTTGCTAGAAGCCTCTTCAAAAGATGAGGATGCACGTTGATGGCTTGGAGCTACAAAACCATTTCCGAACCCACGACGATATCCCTTTCTGATACCTAATTGGTTTTCCACTATCTTAACATCATTTATGACAGGACTGTTACCATCAGAATTGTGAAAAACTTGTGAAAACTTCTGTTTCATTTCATCCTGAAATTAAGATGAATGTAGTTTTAAACATCAGTAGCTCAATAAAAAATTAACTATAAACTAAGTCAAGATGAATTGTTTTTTTATGTATGTATATAGAGAATAGGAATGAGTGGGAGATTCGTTCTTCACTTCCATTTTTGGAAGAAAAAGAGCTAGCTGAAGCTCTTTCAGTGAAAGTCAAAAAAGGATCTTACATATATATAGGACATCAAATTTATATTTTCTATTCCATTTAGAATTCTCAGTCCAAAGACATCAATATCACGATCTGATACAAACTTTAACAAGCATGTGTGAGGATCACAAAAAGGATCAAACAATGTCCATATACTTTGTGATGCATAATTATATGTTTAAAATAAAAAAATATAATTGTCATATCAATTAACCAAATTTTATGGTCTAAAAAAATAAATACAATATCTGTTAAGCTTGTAACAAAATTGATCCCAAAATAAAAATTAACTTGCAAAATAGTAGCATAAAACATAGACTAGTTTCTAACCCATCATAATAAAAAATAAAAATAAAAACTTTTTGAATCAGTTATTTAAAATTGCAATTTTAATTTTAAATTGAGATTAACAAATAAAAAAGAACAAAACCACAACAGAGCAAAAACATAACTAAAGAATATTACACAAGGAACTTAAACAACATACATAAAACATTAAGAGTGACCAGATTCAGTAGCAAACTTTTGAACATCATTTAAATATTAAAAAACATTAAGTTGGGTTCAACTTGGCCCACCTGAATTTCAAGTGCGTTTATCCTGATGTAATGCAGCATGGCAATGTAGGCAAACAAAAATAGGAAGGATTTTATCATAATTGAATTTCAAATATGATTTCAAATATTTGGAATGTGTGGAATTTTAAAAGAACTTAGACAGAATTTAAAATTCCTTTTTACAAATCCCATTTTATTCCCAATTCCTTTCCCAACTCTAATTTCAAATCCCATAAGTATTTGGTTCGAAACAAGGCGTAAAGAAATAATTAAAGGTTCCTTATCAAGTAAGCCCTAACCTTAACACCGATTCTTATTCCAATTATATTAGAATCAATCACATACAATGCCCATTTTTTTTTTTTTTTTTCAGATGCCAGTAGAACTCTACAAGATTTTGAAGTTATTCTATGCACTTTATTGGTTCAGTTTACAATAAATCTGAGCCTACGCCTAAGATTTATCTTTAACCCTATGCACTTTCAGTATTTGGGATCAGCATTGGAAGCCTTTCACTCAGAAAATCAAATGAAATGAACTTGAACCCATGCAATGAGTGATAGGTTATTTTAGGCTCATCAACTTGTCCCAATATATATATTAAAAAAAGAAATTTATTTATTTTTAAGTTGTGTGACAGAGACTATAGAATAGACAACTGGGGTCAGGTTTTATTCCTTGTACTATATTGAGACGGCATCATGGTATTCTCATTTATATGTATTTCTTTCACATATAGCGTTGATTAGTGTGACCTTTGTTGTGTGTATTATTGAAAGTGATTTGGCTTCAATCACATAATCTCCAGAAATTTGGATGAGTAGCATTCCCATTACTATGTTAAAAAAGTAAATTACCATTACTATGTTAAAAAAGTAAATTACCACAACTTGTTAAACCAATGGGCTTGGACATTGTTTTAGATCTCTAATAAGTCTTAGAATTGGTTCCTTTTTTTTAAGTGAGAAAAATTAACATTCTCACCTTGGTGGTGTGCTTCAATGTTATAATATGGGCCTCTTTTCTTAGATCTAGAACTTAAATACGTAGTTAAATATGAAAGTCATTTCAAATTGGTCAATTTTTTTTGGAAGCTGGCCTAGCCTCTTAGTCATGTGGATCCCACAACATTTATATTATAGATAGAAAACGATTGTTAAAGTTAACTGGAATAACACCTTATAGATGTTATCTAAAATCCATATATATAAATGTTATCTAAAATCCTTATAATCTATTTCCAAAAAATTAAAATCCTTATAATTTGAATACTCAAATCGATCAAGGATGTCACTAATAACATTCTAATAATCCAATTCTGGGATCCTAAAGTTTCATTGAACAGTTGATTTAATTTGGATCAAGGGCCCCAAATCCATATCCACGCACAAACCACCAACAAACACAACTCCTGCTTTTAGTTGACACATTATTATATATACACTTCTAAGCATGGTATCCAGTATATCTAATCTAATCTGTAATCTGGTAACTATGTTGATCAAAGCTACAAATTTCTAATTCACCAACAAACTTAATAAATAGCAATTATTTATTTATTGTGCTTACCTGCAAAAACTGAAAACCATATACCCAGAAATCCATATATATAAAAATGCACTCATTCAATTTTCAAAAACAAAACCAACTAAGGTGTTGTTTAATAAAGCTGAAAATTAAGCACTGGAAAATTTTAATTACTGAATTTAAAGCACTGAATGCATGAGTTGATACATGATATTCTGCTCTCATCCACACCCAATTAATTATGAGAACCTAAACTGATTTTGTGAAAGGAATTATTCTCGTGCTGGTGCATCAGGGCAGGGTTATAGCTATAAAATGTAGAGCACCTAAAGGAATGTAATCATTGGTTTCTCCCATCCCATAATGAGTACAAGATCACCAACATCATCTCCTTGCTAGGATAATAATCATGTTGTTAAAGTCAACTGTTACTTTAGAGTTTAGTCTAAACTCTTTCTCGCGATGTAGCCAAACAAGGGCTTGTAGTTTAGGGTCAAAATGGCGGAAAAAAGTATTTGCATAGAGTTAAAGTGTACAATGGAATTTGAATAAGGCTGATTTATCTTTTAAGTTAGAGGATTCTTAAATTGAATTGATTTAAAATAGTAAATGATTTAAAATATGTTATGAAAGATAACTAGCATTCTTAGAATTCAAGTATTGATGAGTCATGTTTACTTTATTTTGGTCACTATGCCCTATGGTGATATCTCAACAACCAAATGTTCCTGTTACATTGTATTATACAAATATTTTGTGCTAGCAATAATTTACCACACATACACACACAATCTTATTATCAAACAAGATGGAAATACTAACACATTAAGAAAAATAAATAGAAAGTAAAAAAGGGGGAAAAAACTTACGTAGTTCTGCTTAGCTCTCTTGTTTACCCATCCAGTTTCTTCCAAAAAATGCGTGTCCTTGTACATGCGAATAGCAGGACCCTCCTCAGGACTTTCAACTTCCTCATCTTCTGTGTTTTGCCTTTCTTGACTTACTATTTTCCTGTGGAATTCTGTTGATCTGGTTTTCTCTTTGAATGAAAAATACTAATCTTGAGGCTAAATGGTATCACCTATCTTAAGGTTTGTTCTTGAATACAAGTCTTAACACGGGCATATTAGTCTTTCTATACATGGGAGCAATATTGCTACACTTATCTTTGATACTACATTGCACTACAGATATTATATTAAAGGTTGAATCACAAATTCAAGGGCTGCAACAAGCATCATCTGGTCACTTTCAAGGGCTGCAGTAAGTATCATCTGGTTTAAAGTGACAAGTGTCATTAGTGAAGGGCAATTATGTAATCTCAGCTGCATCCTTAGGGGTATTTTGATCAATCTAAACTGCAGTGTATGATTGGAAACATTTTCTGAAGGTGCATTGTATCTTTGCTTCAGAAAAATTTGCTGAATATCATCATTTAGCTTGTATACACAAAGTGTATCATTCCAAGGGCAATTCTGGTACTTCATTGATATCTCAAGGCTGTTAAAGGGTTCACAACAATGTGCCACGTGCACATTGGTCCTGGTGAGAGAAAAATATGCACAGAAATACAATTCTTTGCTATATATTTCAGCATTGTTCATTGACCTGTGAGGGCTGCAGAAAAAGTGGTTGGTGTGACACAAGCTAGGCTTGTACAGGGATTGTTTGGTCCATTCATGGTATATAATTTCTGTATATATTCCTATCTATGATTGGTTAAATGGGGAATATTCTTATTCACACTAGGGCAGCAAATTCAGTGTATAAATATACTGTTATAGAGCAGCACCTATGTGTGCAAATATTGAGCCTCTTTTTATATATTGAGCTGCATTGAGTGTGAGGCTCGAGAATTGAAAATATGAGTCACTTTCAGAGAGATTAATTGAAGTTCTGAGCTAATTTAATCTATGAAATCACTATGAGAGTGCACTAATCCACTGAAGAATTTCTAAACCTGTGAACCAGATTTTTCTGATGCATTTATGTTGATGTTGAGGCTGGATTAAAGGGTCAAAATTGGTTGTAGAGGTTCCAAGTGCTGTGTGATGGTTGAAGCAAGCTTGGTGCATTTATTTACATCTGCAGAACTCAGGTATATGCCTAATTTTGCACAGAAAAACAATATGAGTACTCATATCTCAGTTCAGCTTACTTTTCTGGTGCATAGCCTCTAATGGACTGTTTTATGTTGATTACTTCTTGTATGTGTTGAGTTTATGCTTTGAACAAGTATATTTAATCATTATAGAGCTCTGTTGACAAAGATCAAGACTGAAAATTGAGTGTATTTGGTTTTGAACTCTCAAACCAAACAAAACAGCCTTATTGAATAAAATAGCCTACATAAAGTTTTAAACTCATTCTAGTTGATTCATATTGCTAGCTTTGTTGTGATTACCTTCTGAGCATATATATATAACTGGATTGAGGTGTTTGGAATCAAGTTCAAGGCTGTAAGGAAGTAAAATTACGATTTAGTCCCTAAGAACAAAGTTTCAGCTCAAACTTTGTTGTGACTTATTTTGAGCTGCAATTTGAAGTAAACTTACTATACACTGAAGAGTATCATTCTGAACAAGTTTCATTTATTTAGTGTTGTAGGAACTTGAATCAAGGCCTACTTTCACCTACATTGCAGATACACCTGCTTATTCTCACTACTGTAGAATTCAAGTGTAAAACTGATGTCAGTTCTGTCCTAGCACTTATTGTGCACTACAACTATGTCTCTTGTTGAAAGAACTAGAGTATCTAATTAAGTTAGTGCATTATGAGTATGTGAAGCTGTAAGAACCAGAATTAACTCAAGTTTCAGGTGATTTAACTGAAGACTAGGGTTTAAGATATTTCAAGCCTACTTGTGATCTGAGATTGTTATAACTTGCTCTATTCCCTGTTTCAATCTTTTGAGCATGTTTGTTTGGAGATTACACATAATTGACACATTTAAAAAAAAAAGAGAACCTATGCATCAAGTACAATCTTTTGAGCATGTTTCTTGTAGTGATAACCAGCTCATGCACACATAATTGACACATTTAAAAAAGTCACAAACGAATAAAATGTGTCATGAACAGCGTTTTCAGAATTGTTTCATCCATCAATCCCCAGCCTCCAGTGAATTATATTTTCAAAAATTGTATAATCAAATTTAATTTTCATTCCACTCCCTTTGTGGAGAAAGAATTTTCATTTATCTAACAAATTTTGGTAAATGAGAGAACAAAGTGATGAGGCTGTCTCTGGATAAATTAAACAAAACACATGCAGGGCCAATTACTGGTAAAAAAAAATGGTCCTTTAAAAAAAAATATCTGCAAAACAAAATATATGTACTTGATGCATAGGCTCTCTCTTTTTTTGGTAGGGAGGGGGGAAGTGGTAAAATATCATTAAAAGGCGCCAAAACAAGGGTACGACCCATATAAACAGGAGGTACACAAGAAGGAAAACAAAAAAATATGCATAATCATGATAGATCCATGATGGAGAGCATTAGAACTAAATATCTAGGTAATACAAACTTATAGAGCATTAAAATCCAGAAATTGATAAATAAACAAATAAAATAAAACATAATAAAAGTATTAAAATCCATAAATTGATAAGTAAACAAATAAAAAAAAACATAATAAGAGCATTAGAACTAAATATCTAGGTAATATAAACTTATAGAGCATTAAAATCCAGAAATTGATAAATAAACAAATAAAATAAAACATAATAAGAGGAGTAAGAAATATATCATACCTAAAATTCTGATCAAACTCAATCTTGGGTGAACAGCTAGTGGATATGACCTGCAATAAGTATATAATGGCACCAATTATCAGTTCTGAACAAGATCTTATGCAGGAGATATTCTATGTTTTGTAAGCGAACTAATATAACCTTCAAATGGGACCCTGGCTAAATTATTAGTATCAGAACTTCACTAACAAATCAACTGCAAGGCTTATTCTGGTTTATGAAGGGTCGCTTTCTAGAGCATTCATAAAATTTCCTTCCTTTCACTAACAAAGGGATTGTAAGGGCCTATTTGATTTATTTTTTAAGTCACTTCTCTTAAATTTTTTCCTAATAAAAATAAAAACTATACAATCACTTTAGTATTTTCGATTGCGACCAGAAACTGAAAGACGGGATATAGAGAATATCATTCGGATGTAATAGCAATGCTGGTTTATTTAAAAATCGACTTCTTGAACAGTTCTCAAGATTTGCCTAAGGTTATGGCTTTAAAATGGAAAAGAAAATAGGATTTATGTAACCAAAACTAAATAGTTAAAATAGACTTTGTCGAGTCGAGTATGATTATTCTACACCAAATCATCCAGACACCAAAATAACAATAAATAAAAATGAAGCACTAAATAGTTGTAGTGAAAAGAAAAAAAAAATATCAATTTTGATCAAATTCATTCTTGAAATCTGTACGAAACAGTGATGAAACCACAAAATTATGTGTCTGAGGTGGAAGAGACCTTGAATAACAATAAGATATAAAAAATATTCACATAACCATAATAAGGGGTTATATTAAAAATTCTTTTTGGACATAAATGACTTATATTTATAGGGCAAGGCCGGGCATTGGCCAATGATCTTTGTATGGACATTCGAATGGAATCTTACAGCAAAACTCTCGTTCCATAATGTGAGAAAGGTGGTGAGCCCCATCGTTTCCCTCTCACATTCAGAATTCGAAATTCTGAATGTGTATCATTGTTCTTCAACATTTCTAGTAACCAGAACTTCAACCTAAAATTTTTTGTATCACTACTATCAAGTCCATCAAAGAATCAAGAATATAAAAAGAAAACTAACCATTCTCAAATCAACAAAAATCGTAACAATCAACCATATAGTTCCAACAGGAATTGCCCTCCAGGAGAGCCCAACCCAATTTTTATACAAATCACTCCCTGAAGTCAAAATCCCTACCAAACAGCCCTTTATAACACCATACCTTTTGTATGTACAATTTTTTTAACATTTAGAGGAGAAGTATGGTGATAAAAAATTTAAATCTCATCAAATTTGTTAAAACAAATTTTTTTTTTTTCTCTTGTAACAACTTTTTTTTTTAGAACAAATTTATCAAAATGTTTTACTAATTAGTTTTTGACAGAATGGTCTTATTTACAAAGTCACAATTATCATAGTATGTCGTAAGAAAATTTTAATGAGAAAGAATAGACAAGTCTGATTTGTAATGGGTTTGATTTTTACCTATTCTGTTTGACTACCATAAATATTAAGCTACATAATTATTGGTTTCTTACTTATTCTGTTTGAATAAAATAAATACATTCTTTTGCATAATTCTTTACATTAAAAAGTTTATACACCGTGGTTAATCTGTTTGAATAAAATAAGTCAGTGATTGTTCGGTTTCCCCTTACATCTCAGTAATTCTGTATGGATTGCCCGGTAGTAATCTCGATAAGAAATCTTGATAAATTTGTACTTTTTGTATGTATGGATTGTTTAGGAGAAGATCACACTGTCTGTCTTAATACTCCTCCCTTCTTACATACAGAGGACATGTATAAATTTTAGTATCCTCCAATATCTCAAAATTTTAAATAAACAAACATACGTGCAGATAAACAAAACAAAAATAAAAAATATATATAGATAAAAAAATAAAAAAAATAAAAAAAAATTGTACATACGAAAGGTATGATGTTAAGATTATCAATTTGATGACTAACAACAATAAAGCTGATAATGAATATCAACTGAAGCCAATTAAGAGACGTCAGAATTGCAAAAGGGGAAAATTAATTTTTAAAATTAAAATTTCAACGAAACGATGATTCCTCAAAAAAAATAATAATAATAAATAAATAAATAAATAAAGTGCAGCTCAAATTTTAGATAGAAATTCTACAAAACTCATACCTAAATCAACCTCAAAAAAAAAAAAAAAAATTAAATAAATAAATAAATAGTATAGATAAAGAAGCAATCTAAGCTAGTTAATTGAGATACAAAGAAGAGAGTGAAACATACCTCTCGGCAAGTAGATAGCCGCCAGTAAAAGAAGTAGCAGAAGGTTGAGTGATTAAATCTGTTGTTTAATAATGAATGAGTAAGAAACAACATAATAAGAATGAAAATAGTACACAAATTCTTCATGGTTCCGTGAACTGATGAATGAATTGCATATATATATATATAAAGGCTATATATACATATATATTTATATGTATATAAGGAATAAATTAATAAAGATAGAAAGTTTAAACAACCTGTACGATTTCGGATTTCCCACAACGATTCAGACTTAGGTGACAAGCCTTTTCCAGATTTATAATTTACCCCTTCAATAGGCCTTTTGCAATTTCGAAACCCTAGAAAAAAACTAGGGTAAGGATCATGAAAAATGGCAAACAGGAAAAGTACGAATGAACTTTTGCTTGCCTGTACTAAGATTAGGAGGTTCGCTTGGCTGGAAACGGAAGAAACCTTCCAAAGGTTGCTATTAGGTCGTAGAGCAGGGCGACGTTGAGAAGAACAGAAGAGGTGAAGAACTGATCGCAGGGCTTTGTGAGTTGTGACGGTGGAAGAGGATTGCAAATGGTACTAATGTTTTTTAAATTAAAACGACGTAGTGTGATGGGCTTCCCTTTGTTTTAATATAAAATAATTTTATAATATTTCATTTTTGTGCCAAACAAAAGAAAAATGAAGCGCTAAAGTTTGGAGCCTATTTTTTTTTTTTTTAGCATTGGGGACGGTCTTCAATAAACTGTGCCAAAAAGGCTGGTATTAGGGACGGTAAAATTTGCTCATCCCTAATAATAGGATCTTTAGGGACGGGTTTTAAAGCGTCACAAAAAGACTGTCCCTAATAGCCATTTTTCTTGTATTGCCTTGATGCCATCAAGCAAATTCTACCTTATGTAAAATTTCTTAAAGATTTGTGTACTCAAAAACGCACTTCTAAGAGCAATATTCCTAAAAAGGTAAGCTTAACTGAGCAAGCAAGTGCTATCATTCAGCATAATACACCTCTAAAGTTTAAGGATCCGGGTGCCCCGACAATCTCGTGTGTCATTGGAGACAATGAGATAGAAAAGGCCCTCCTTGACTTAGGATCAAGTGTAAATCTGATTCTTTACTCAGTATACTTACAACTTGGCTTAGGAGAACTAAAATTTACTTTGGTTGTCTTGCAACTTACGGATAGAACTAAAGCAACCTCGTGGTATCATTGAGGATATACTTATCAAGGTGGACAACTTCTATTTCCCGGTAAACTTTGTGGTTCTAGATACTGAATCGGTCCATAATTGATCGGTTGATCAACTATACATCAACCTTCGCAATAGCACGAATCATTGTAAAATAGGGCTATTGGTCGGGTAAGTCGAACCACTGGGACTGCGCTAGTCTTACGACAACCTTAGTGTCTAGAATCTTTCTAGAATGATGAAGGGTTTATAAAGGTTTTGTTGTTTGTCACTTAAGCTAAGAATATTGAAATTGCATAAATTAGAAACTTGCAAGAATTAAAAAGAAATAAAATGTCGGTAAAAGAGACTAGGGAAGTAACTTCACTACCTACAATATAAACATGCTAGAATATGATTCATTCGGGGAAAAACAACATAAATATGTGGCTATGATAAGTAGTTACTCATGGTTACTACATTACCTTCAAAGGATTCATGGAATCAATAGGCAAGAACAATTTATCAAAGATTTTACATGCTCAATTACCTAAACTAAAGTGTAATTTAAGACATGTTCACTAAGCTAGAAATTGTCAAACCATCAATCACATGATAAGAGCACATGAAGCTAAGAATTAAGAATAAGCCATCAAGGGAAGAACCTAAGCTATGGCCTATCAAATCTCTCAACAACATGCCATTAAAACCATTCCAAAAATCTCATCTTCATTGTCACCATGAAAATGTAAACCATACAACCATGAAAACATACATTCTAAGACAAGAACGTAGGTCCAACATGATCATTAAATCAAAATCAATTCATTACATCAAGTAAGAGTTCTAGATTATGGAATCACCACAAAAATACATTATTTTTTGCCAAACTAGAATCAAAAGTAAAGCATGCTTACAATGAGGGGTTCCATTACCTCCCTAGAGGAGGAGTTAGTTACACATGGGAGCCTTAGAATGAAGAAGAACCATGGATCCTCCTTCCATTTTCGAGCTCCCCTTTCCTGCTCCAAGAACTCTCCTTCCTTTGCTCTCTTCTCTCTCCTCTAATCTTGTAGAATGAAGCTCTCCCCTATTGTGTGGCTCATATCCCTCTTATCTACCACCAAAAGGCCACCAACCAACATCTCCAACCACTTCATTAAAGAGGAAAGCAAAATGAAGAAACCAAGGTGCAAGTGGGCTGAAATGAGCCATTTCCGAAGGGCATTCTGCCCAAAATTTGAGCACTCTAAGCAAGGCCTCGAGCACTCGAATTTAGTGTAAAAATGCCCATGCTTCACTTGCTCCGCCCAGACCTACTTTGGTTAAACAGCCATAACTTTGTGCTCCGAACTCCGAATGATGAACCGTTTGAAGATTTAGAAAGCTAATTCAGAGCTCTAAATATTTCATGTTTTAGTGGAGATCCAATTCTCAAGTATGGTTGGTCGAAAATGAAGATCAAGGCAGAATTTCATTGCTGCCAGGCAGTTCTGCGCACCTCTGGTAACAAGGCCATAACTCTCTGCTCCGAGCTCCGAATGACAAAACGTTTGAAGATTTAGAAAGATAATTCAGAGCTCTAAATCTTTCATGTTATGAGGGAAGTCCAGTTCTCGAGTTTGGAAGGTCAAAATGGCAAGCAAAGTCCAGGTTCTACTGCTGCCAGAATTCAGCATTGGCACCTTTTGTTGCTCAAGATTCCACAAGGCCTTATTCTTGTTCCATTTTGGCCAATGAACCTGAAAATGCATAAAAACATAGAAATGAAGATAATCTACATAAATTAACATACAACGGACTTTACTAATGCAATTTAGGGCGCTTGAATATATAATATTCAGCGCTTATCAATAATCCAATAAAACATATTCCTATGATCCTTGGTCGACCTTTCTTATCTACGGCTAATGCTTCAATTAATTACCGAACCGGGGTGATGGATATTTCTTTTAGAAACATAAAGGTAAAGCTCAACATTTTTAGTGTTTCTCAACATCCTCAGGGGGAATATGAGTGTTTCTCTCTTGATATCATTGATGAAATGGTTGAAGAATCTCTTCCATTTATTTTAAGTCAAGATCCTCTTGAAACTTGCTTAGCTCATTTTGACTTTAAAAATTACGACATTGATTAATCTATTACAGAAGTCAAGTCTTTGCTTGAAGCCAATGCAATCTCGGACTTTCCTTCTTGGAAAGTGCCAAAGGAATCTCTTCCATTAATTTCCAGCACTCCTCCGGTCCCTTCACTGAAATCTCCCCCTCAACTTGAGTTAAAGCCACTCATGGTTAATCTCGAGTATGTATTTCTTGGTATCAACAAAACTCGTCTGGTTATAATTGCATCAGATCTTTCTAAGGACTAAGAAAACTGCCTTTTAGCAGTGCTACAAGAGCACAAAGAAGCTATTGGCTGGTCAGTGGCTGATTTAAAAGGAATTAACCCTTCTATTTGCATGCACTGCATTCTTTTGGAGGAGGACGCCAAACCTTCCCGAGAGATGCAGCATCAGTTGAATCCTAACATGAAGGAGGTTGTCATCAAGGAGGTAATCAAGATATTAGATGCGGGAATCATTTAACCCATCTCAGATAGAAAGTGGGTAAGTCCCACTCAAGTTGTTCTAAAAAAGTCCGGGCTCACCGTTGTTGAAAACTTAGCGGGAGAACTTGTGCCACAAAACACCACTACTGGTTGGCATGTGTGCATTGATTAAAGGAAACTAAACTCTGTAACTAGGAAAGATCATTTTCCACTTCCATTCATTGATCAAATCCTAGAAAAGTTATCTAGCCAAAGTTACTATTGTTTTCTTGATGGTTATTCTCGCTATAACGAAGTGGCTGTAGATCCTCAAGATTAAGAGAAGACCGCCTTCACTTGTCCTTTTGGAACGTTCGCTTATCGTCGTATGCCCTTTGGGTTGTGTAATGTGCCGGCCACTTTTAAAAGTTGCATGATGTCCATATTTTCTGATATGGTTGAAAAATTTCTTAAAGTATTCATGGATGATTTTTCTATCTTTGGCTCTTCTTTTGACTCTGGTCTCCATAATTTATCACTTGTGCTGCAAAGATGCAAAGATACCAATCTGATTTTAAGTTGGGAAAAAAGTCATTTCATGGTACAAGAAGGGATTGTCTTGGGACACATTATCTCTAAAAGAGGCATTGACATTGATAAGGCAAAAGTTGAATTAATTCATAGCCTTCCTCCTTCCTCTTCGGTGAGACAAATTCGATCTTTTCTTGGCCATGCTGGCTTTTATCGCCGCTTCATTAAGGATTTTAGCAAGATATCTCGGCCTTTATGCCATCTTCTTGAAAAGGACACTTGTTTGGAAGCTTTTGAGAAGCTCCATTCACTACTCTCTTCTGCCCCAATCATAAAACCACCTAATTGGTCTCTTCCCTTTGAGATCATGTGCGATGTATCCGATTATGCATTAGGTGCTATTTTGGGCCAGTGTGTGGATAAAACTCCTCATGATATTTACTATGCTAGTAAGACCCTCTTAGATACTCAAATGAATTATTCAACAATTGAGAAAAAGTTGCTAGCAGCTATCTATGCCTTGGATAAATTCCACTTATATCTTCTTGGATCCAGGGTCATTGTCTTCACGGATCATGTCGTGTTAAGACATCTACTTGCAAAGAAAGAGACCAAACCTTGACTCATTCGTTGGATACTCTTACTTTAAGAGTTCAATATTGAGATTAAGGACAAAAAAGGAACTGATAATGTAGTTATAGACCATCTCTCTAGGCTTCTTATTGAGAACACTTCTAATTTTTCTCCAGTTCATGATTCCTTTCCGGATGAGCAACTATTCTAGATTTCTTATGTGTCGCCTCCTTAGTTTGCTGACATTGTCAACTATCTTGAGGTTAGAAAAATTCCATCAAAATGGTCTAAGCAAGATAAAGACTGCTTCTTCGCTCAAATCAAAAAAATTCTTTTGGGAAGACCCGGAATTGTTCAAGTATTGCCTGGATCAAATAATCAGAAGATGTATTCCTGAATCCGAAGTCCAAAATATCTTAAAATTCTGCCATACTCTTGAATGTGGAGGACATTTCAGTGCCAAAAAGACTTCATCTAAAGTCCTTCAGAGTGGATTTTATTGGCCTTCATTATTCAAGGATGCTTACAACTTTTGCAAGTCTTGTACACGATGTCAAAAGCTTGGGGCCATGTCTAAAAGGGGCATGATGCTATTGAACTCCATTCTAATTA